AGGAAAGCACTTACTCTCCTGAGCCATCTCCCCACCTCATTAATGTTTCTGAGACTCTATGCCTGTTTTTTTTTTTTTTTTTTTTTTTTTTTTTTTTTTCATTTTTTTTTTTTTTTTTTTTTTTTTTTTTGTGGAACTGGGAATTGAACTCAAGCCCTTGCGCTTGCCAGGGAAGCGGTTATTCCACTGAGCCATCTCTCCAGCCCATTTCTTCATATTCTTAACACATTGTTCTTGTCACTTTCTGAAGCAGTTCTAGAAGTCTTTTATGGTTTTGTTTTTTTTTTTTTTTTTTTGTACCGGGGATTGAACTCAGGACCTTTCACTTGCCAGCTAGGTGCTTATGCCGCTGAGCTATATGCCTAGCCTCCTATTGTGTCTTTTTGGTAACTGACCAAAAGTACAGAGTGCCAAACAACTGTAAGGGCAGACTCGTAAACATCACAGCGTTCTCATCCATCTTATTCAGTGATCTGGTGCTGCGCAACTTCTGGCCCTTCCAAGTCAGAATGACTAAAACTTTAGCTGCTGCAGAAAGTGGCAAGAGTGGCTGTTAGAAGTGAAGGAGAGGGTCTGGGGAGATGGCTCAATAGGATAAGCGCTTGACTAGCAAACTCAAGGATCTGAGTTCAATCCCCGGTTCTGCAAAAAAAAAAAAAAGAAAGAAAGAAAGAAGTGAAGGAGAGGGCTGGTGAGATGGCTCAGTGGTCTAAAGCACCTACTTGGAACAAGCTTGGCAAAGCACAGGGACCGCGGTCCGATGCCCCAGCACCACATGCCAGCCAGCCCCGCCCCCTGGTGGGCTGAGCTGACCACACACACACACTAAATAAATAAATAAATGTTAAAAAAAAAAAAAAGTGAAGGAGATTAGTAATTTCCCTTTTTGGCTGAAGCAGGCAGGGTCTTGCTCTGTGGCTCAGGGTGGCCTTAAACTTACTATGTGGGCCGGTGAGATGGCTCAGTGGTCTAAAGCACCTACTTAGAGCAAGCTTAGCAAAGCACAAGGACCGCGGTTCAATCCCACAGCACCACATGCCAGCCCGACCCGCCCCCTGGTGGGCTGAGCTGGCCACACACACACACACACACACACACACACAAATAAATAAAATTTAAAAAAAAACAAAAACAACTTACTATGTAGCCCAAAGTAGCCCCAAATTCATGGCAATCCAACTCCTGGGATTACAGACGTGCCACCACATCTACTTGGCAGGAGAAATAATGGCAATGTCTTCTACTACATTCAGTATTTCTTGTTGTCGTTCTTTTCGAGATAGGGTTTCACTATGCAGTTCAGGTTGGCCTTGAGCTCACTTTGTAGTCCAGGCTGGCTTTGATCTCAGTGATCCTCCTGCCTCAGCCTTCAGAGTGCCGGTTCTCCTGTGTGCGCTTCCACTCCTAGCCTAAAGTAGAATTTTTGACAGTAACTTGTGGCGAGAGCCTGGTCTTTATAAATAAATAAATAGGCTGAGATGCGGGTCATGTTGGCAGGCCTGGGCAGTGGGGTACATAGGGGCCCAGGCTGCCATTGGTACCAGTGTGTGTCTGATTTGTCTGAAGGATCCTGGTTGCTTCCAAGACCTGACAACGTGAAGAACTGCTCTAAGCATCTGATGCAGATTTGTGTGTGGACATGTTTTAACTCATTCAAGTAAATACCAAGGAGACACTGCTGGACAGTAGAATATGGTTAGCTTTCTAAGAGGCTGCTGACTTAAGCGGCTGCACCATTTTGCATTCCTACAAAGGAGTTAAATTCCTGTTCCACATCCTTGCTAGCTTTTGAGGTGGCCAATGTTCTGGATTTTAGTTGAAACCCAAATCCAGGTGTGGTGCTATCTTTTTAATTTATTGAAGAGGTGCACACACACACACGTGCACACACACACACACACACACACACACACACACACACTCATACTCCATGTCTAGAACAGTCTCTGGCTTGTAGAAGGCCCTCCAGATGTTCCTCTAATGTAATGGACAGACATCATGCTGGTCTCAACTGCACTGGGGTCTAAAAATACTGATCGCAGGATTTTAAAGAGTAAAACTTCATAGGAGGGTCCCTAATGTTATCTCTGGTACACATTCAGAACTCCATGGGTGACAATTCAGATTTTTCTCATGTTGCTTTTTTTTTTTTTTTAATTTGTGTGTGTGTGTGTGTGTGTGTGTGTGGCCAGCTCAGCCCACCAGGGGGCGGGGCTGGCTGGCATGTGGTGCTGGGGGATTGAACTGCGGTCCCTGTGCTTTGCTAAGCTTGTTCTAAGTAGGTGCTTTAGACCACTGAGCCATCTCACCAGCCCCACCATGTTGCTTTCTTTATAAAGTCTAACATAAATGAATGTAGTAACTGCTGAACAGAATGCCCCTGGAGTTCCGCTCTATGTACAAATGGAATTTCCATACCATACCACTAAGTTCAATGGCGCTAAATCCTTGTTTAATCGGTGCTCATATGCATTTAAGTAGGAACTTTCCAATATGCAGAAGTGAAGAGTTGCTACATTAGAACGACTTTTGGGACTGGGGAGATAGCTCAGTAGAATAAGCGCTTGCTTGGCAAGCACAAGGGCCTGAGTTCAATCCCCAATTCTGAAGAAAAAAAAAAAAAAAAGTTTTTCCCTGCAGGACCAGAGCTCAGAATCAGAACCTTGTGCATGCAAGTCAGGTGCTTGTGCTGTTGCTCTCTCTCCCCGGCTCTAGAGTGAAGTTAGTACAAAAAAATTTTTTTTTCTTTTTTTTAGCACTAGGGATGAACAGTCTTGGGCATGTTAAGCACATACTAAGCTACTCAGTCTAGGTGCTTAATGAAGGAAATGTCCCCATCCTTACAAGCAAGCGTCATGAAATCTCACTCAGTGGACACTAACATCGGCCTCTTTTGGGGTAATGGAAATTTTACTGTATTTTTAACTTTGTCCAGATGTCAAAGAATGGCCCTAGATAAAACTATGGGACGTTCTGGGGATACTCACTGCTTTAGTTTGCCTGCCCAGACTGCTTCCAAACACGTTTCCAAATGGAACAAACTCACCTCCACTTTCCCCTGTATCCCAGAGCTGCTTCATTATCTTGGATCACTGAGCTCCTCTCCTCGGGCCGCCTGCCAGGCGTGCTCGCTGCCCCTCTTCTGCTGCCGTCCACCAGGCCCGTGGCACCTGGCACTGTATGTCATGTGCTGCTTTCCTGATGCACTCTCACTGCTGCTGCCTCCAGGACAAAGGTCTACTCCCTGCTGGGTCATTTTCAGAGTCCCCTCCTGCAATGTCTTGCTAGCCTGCCTCCCTAGTGCCTGGCATCACACCCCACGTTCGCAGGTCCACCACACATGCTCTGCATGGCTGTGCCAGATGCTTCTCAGCAGGAGTGCCTCCCACACCCACGCCCTGAAGGATTCTTTTTTTTTTTTTTCTTGGAACTGGGGATTCAACTCAGGCCCTTGCACTTATTCTACTGCGCTATCTCCCCCACCCCCCAAAATTTTGATGGATCTTTAAACCAGGGTTTTTAAAAATGTATTTAGTACAGGGTCTACAGGGTTTCACTACACAGATCAGACTCAGTGATCCTCCTGTTTTCAGCCTCTGCTGGGATTACAGGTATGCACCACCATGCCCAGTCTTTTTTTTTTTTTTTTTTTGGCAGAGCCAGGGATTGAACTCAGGCCCTTGCGCTTGCCAGGAAAGCACTTATTCTACTGAGCTGTATCTCCCTGGCCCCAGTCTTGTTTTTTGAGACAGGATCTGGATACATAGTTCGGCCTCAAACTCACTGATCCTCCTGCCTTTCAAGTAGAGATTATACGTATGAAAAGGCACCCAGCTTTTATACTGGCAGAGCACCTGTGGGTCTGCTCTATGGAAGGTGATAAGACAGCAGTGGGAGAAAAGGTTGTGCCCTCCTGAGCTAGCTGCAGATGCACTGATGGTGCTCTCGCTTCCTCTAGATTTTGACAGCCTCAGTAGCATCAAGGCTGAAGGCTGAGACCAGGTTGGAAAAACCACCATCTCAGAAACTTCCTACAGAGCTGGGCCAAACCAGCACAAGAATCCTTGGGACAAGGTAATCAATTCCAGCATCATTTTCCTCTTTGGTTTTTGATTGGCCCAAATCCTAGTGATCAGGGGATCACAGCATAGAATCACAGCAAATTCAACAGAAAGTATGGAAAAAAGTTTATGTTCATGAAGAAGTGGTGATGCGCCAAATTTCCAAATGACTTCGTTTCTTGTCAGCTTGGCCACAGCTTCAAGAGAATTCTAGGTTGAAGTACCTGCCTAGGCAAGC